TGCTGCAGTCTTGATCCAAGTAACTCTGCCTTACATTTTGGAAGTTCTAAATCTCTTACAAGATCATTTAATTCTGACTGTGTTATTTTGTGCGGTTGGTGGCATACGTGCTCGGTATAAAATCAGGATCTCTTGACGTGATGGCATATCTTCTTCCTGACGAATCACTCGATCGCCATGATCTGATTCGTTTTCTGATTCGCAAGTGTAGGATTCTGGGGGTTTTGGAATAGGATTTTCGTCACTGTGAGGCACAGGTCTCATCGCAGATGGTATGTTTGGGTAGTTAATAACAGATTTTTTTTCTTGGACATACCTGTGGCTTGTCCAACACAAGCTACCATGCAAAAGTAACAATCATTAATATGATTTGTAGGCTCTCTCCAAACCATTGGGACACCAAAGCGCATAGACCGTTTTTTGCCATTTAACCAGCTCCTCAGACTTGAAGCACATGTATTACAGCAGATGTGGGGTGCCCACTGTTTGTCTTGATCACCTAGTTTACAACCGAAATAAAGCTGATATGCCTTTGTTATTAGTGGAGTAATAGACCGTCTCTGAGACGCAAAAGTCACATCACCACACACGTAACAAAACTGATCTGGATTGTTTACACACTTTCGAGACATCTTGCATGAACGCTGTCAGCCAACTGAGGAAAAAATGGCTAATATAAAACAATATAATGTACACGTATGTATAAATAAATTCTTGTGAATTACAGTATATTAACACTGTCACAGCAGGAACACATATAATTACCGTATCTCTAAAACTTGAACTAATATTGAAAAAATAAGTTTCATTCCGGTTTTAGCACATTAAAAATAGTAATATTTTGTTGATTTTATTTAGAATATTTTTTGGCTGTTGATCAGTGAATCAATTGGACTCAAGTTTGAGCGGTTTCTAGAGGCGGACGTTTGTGTGATATTATTATTCATACATAATTTCTACGTTTCAATAAAAGATTAACATGAAAAAAATGGACGTATTTCATTTCATTTCACAAATATTCAAGACCAGCCCATTACACATCGGCCATCCTGCATAACTAACTATAATATCAAACCTTAAAATTTAGGTAGAATGTAAGACGTATTATGTTACAAGGCGTAGGAGAGAAGAGAGGAAAGAGGTTTTGAGTGCGTTAGAAGTACGGCGGATTGTTTGTCCAAAAACAGTTTCCCCTGGCAAATTATTACTGGAGAGTGAAAATTAAGCTCACCCTCTTGCATTTTCCGTCAGACCACAAACATCTATCTACAGTAGGAAAGGTTGAGCAGTTGATTGATAACAAAAATATAATAAAGCAGTCCCACGTTTTGTTTTCGTTAGTCGTGGCAGTGGGGCCTTCACAGAATGATATCGGAGCTGATCAAGAGATCTCCACACTATACAGACGCAACATATCACGTTTGAATTACGACAAAAATGGTTGTAGTTAAACGCATACATAGAATAAAAGCTATCACCTATCTTATTTATCTACGAAAAGGATCTCCTTCTCACAACATTACGTCAAATACACAGCTGGAGACTGGACTCCAAAGTGTACAGCTAAGGGGGAGACTTCGGAAAAAATCAAGTAATATCACAAAGGGGAATGACTGTTCAACGAGATATTAAGTGTATCTATGTTTCTGAACGCGAGACTTGACTCACCGTTGCCAGGCAACAATTACCCAGTTTGCCATGACAACCTCCTGGCTCGGCTCGCCAGTCGTCAGTAATACACCATCCCTCTAGTATTTTTATGCCAGTCCGAATATCTTCCTGGACATTTTTATCCTGGCGCTAATATTCCAGCATGAAATCCTCTACCTCCTAGCCAGACTAAGTTAAGTCCAAATAAGCAATTTTGAGATAATTGCGTTTGAAGTATTTTTCTTCTATTTCATTGTATGCGATTAACCATGGGTTATGAAGTCGGGAAAAGTAGCAAATGAGAATTCGAAGTTAGCAAGCTAAACTTCTTAGCACAAAAGAGGCAGTTGGAAGCATTTTTTTTAAAATGAAACTAGGGGTCTTGTGATACTCGATATTGAAGCTCTTTATGAGTACGTTGTAACCTTAGAACACAAAATTACTATTTTCCAAACTGTCGAGCCGGCAGGCTGTCAAATTTGAGCATCTTTGTACATTGAGTCGCTTATATGTCACCAGTCATCGTCGCGGTATGGTACGTTTTGTCAAAATTTTCATCTTGGAAGGGACTATCCAAATAAATAAATTGGAACATATACATATGTAATTTGAATCGGCCACACAATGGAGTCTTGTGAACATGAAAACCATAACTCATTTCAGGCAATCTGGTCTGGCTGTGAAGAACATAATTAGATTATACCTGTATAGTAGTAGTATAGTAGTCCTTTATTTAGAAAAAAAAATCCTAATTTCAACAACTACAACAACTGGTAGCATTACAGCATTTCACAAGTACATACATGTATATCCAAATATACTAAGTGACATATAAATCCGAACACCCAGTTTAAATGGTTTTATTTTAATAAAATTTTGTATAAGTACTTAATGAAGCATAATAACTAAATGATAAAAATTTCAAAATGATTGCACTGCTTTAAAGCCCCTTGACCTTTAATAATGTGTGGATGCACCCTGATGTGCTACGCATTCTCCAACGCGCCTAGGCATGCTTCTGATCAGGTGGTCAATGTCCTCCTGTGGTATCTCATTCCAGGCAACCACCAACTCCTCTCGAAGTGTTTCTAGAGTCTGAGGAGGACGTTGCAAATTGAGCAATCTCCTACCCATCATATCCCACACGTGCTCAATTGGGGATAAGTCGGGAGATCTTGGTGGCCATGGTAACAATGTGACATCATTATGTTGAAAGAAGTCTATTGTGACTCTTGCAACATGTGGTCGGGCATTATCTTGTTGGAAAGTTGGATCTGCCAGGGTGTCAAGATAGGGTAAAAGATGGGGTTCTAGAACTTCGTGGATATAACGCTGCGCGTTCATGTTACCTCTGATGAAGATTAAAGGTGACCTGGAACCATAAGCTATAGCACCCAAAACCATAACTCCAACAGTGTGATGAACATGTCTTTCAACAAAAAACTGTGGATTCCTCCTTTCACTACGTCGCCTTCTAACCCTGGCACGACCATCGTGCATGCCTAAACAAAATCGAGACTCGTCACTAAAGACAATACTGTTCCATTCCTGATCCCAGAGTGACCGTTGTCTGCACCACTCAAGGCGATTACGTCGGTGTTCTCGAGTTAAAGGGAGGACCCAGTGTGGCCGGTATGAAAACAAGCTAAAACTTCTCATTCGTCGGTAAACACTTCGCATGCCAATAGGTCTTCCGTGTTCTGCAAACCATTCATTTGCAATGGACCTGGTAGTGGAGAAACTGTCCCTTAAGGCCAATAATCTTAGGCGGCGATCTTCACGGTCTGTTGTTCTACGGCTGGCGTCCAGTGCCCCTTGCTCTTTGCGTACGACCTTCTCGAAGCCATGCCTGACAATACCTAACCACAGTGTCTACACTTCTTTGCACTCTAACTGCAATTGCCCGAAAAGAAAGTCCAGCTTCCCGAAGTCCCTCTATACGGCCCCTATCAAACTCACTAAGTTGACGAAATCGTACAGGTCTCCGTACTCTAGGCATCGTAACCGATCGTAAAGGATGTCAAGAACAAAATCCGCCAACGTTGATTCTTTACTGCGGCTGAAATATTCATTTTTAGAGCGTTAGTGAATTAAAAAAGCAGTATAAAAACGGAATGTCCAACTGATAAGGCTGAAAATTTTTTCACTTGTTATTTACAGTAAGATAAATACATTCACCAACTTTTATTAAAATAAAACCATTTAAACTGGGTGTTCGGATTTATATGTCACTTAGTATATTTACAAAAATAATTAATACATATACCTAAAAATGGAGTGGTAGGCCTGTCGCTGTTCGCAATCTCTTCCAGTCTGTTGAACATGGCGGATTCGGTGCCTCCGACCCACTTTGACGTTTCAAACATCTCCGACACTTTTTTCCCGTGCGCCTTGGCCAGTTCCATAGCTTGCCATTTCGTGAACGGATGATCGCCAAATTCATGTACATACTCCCGCGTCAGATAATAAAACTTCTTTCCCTTGGTCATGTCGAACATTTTCCGCGCTTTGCTTCTCGCTTCGGTCTCCGACATGGTCGGATTGAACTGTTTCAGTAACCTTTCGGCGAAATTCTGGCCGGCACCGTAGATTCTAGCGTAGTTGATGACCTTGGCATGGTCTCTGCTGATGCCGACTGCCTTTGCGGTAACGCTGTGCATGTCCGTGCCTTCGGTTTTTTTCCGCTTAACGTCATCCATCCCAACGGTGTGCAGCCGTGCATCGCCGCATGGCGGGAATCCCCTAAAACAAATTTGTGTCGCTTTGTACACGGTGACCCGTTTTAAAACGCGGTGCTCAACTGTCCACTGCTGCATAATGTCTACTGGTAAAAATGCTAGGAACGGCCGAGTCCAACGGCACTCCCACCCGGTTAGGCGGAGAGTACTAGCCATTTCAAAAACATCCATCCTTTGTGCCCTGTATCTTCCTGATCACGAATCCTGAGTCTGGAACCACCTACAGAAATTCCTAAGCCCGCCACTGGGATTCTTACCTATTACAGAAGCTATCCACAGCTCTTGCGAATCGACATCGGCACCCACGATGTTATAACCAGGAGGAGCCTGAACCATCGCTCTGAGCTCCGATCCAATTCTTTCTGGGTGTGCGTTTGAAGCTGTCATCCACGTGGATTCTACAGCTCTTCGAGTAAGTGTACCACAAACTACCACTTGGGGTATGATCGCACCAAAATTGTCTGGAAGATGGAAAATTAGATGGCACGTTTATGGTTTGTGGTTAAATTTGTAACGTTTGGTTGTTTTGATGTTAGATAAAGTCAAGGAAGAACTTAAGTTGATGATGCGCGGTATTATTATTTATACACAAACCCGTAGATTCGTGCAGCTCCATGGGCAAATCCTGCTTGTTCAGCCACACAACCATCTGGTCCATAATTCGAGCTCTATTATTTCTCCAATAAGATAGTTTTCTAGCAATTGACAGAACTTGTTCCGCACTCTCCGTATCGCCAGCCAAAACGTTGTCGGAAAATTTGGTCAGATAATCTTTAGCCAACGGATTTCCTACATTTCGAGATGGTCCGTCTTTGTGAGGTAGTTTGAAAAACCAACAACAATCTTCTATTACGGTATTGCACCAAATTCCAGTACCTATGAAAAATATGCCTTTTGTTACTAGCATTACTTACTTACCTTGTAGCGATATTTTGTAATCAAAAAGGGAGATTTTATTCCAGAAAAAATTTAAGGGATTTCCTTACAAAATGTTCTTTGGCCTAAATTGATGCGGTTTAGACATCATTTAACTAAAGGGTTGTCCAATAGGGACGCAGGAAAGTAAACGTCAATTTGACTTAGACGCCATCTTTGTTTTCTGTCACCGACATGTCATTTTGTTAGTTGAATGTTTACCATTGGTCGCTATGGAGTCGTATTCGATTGAAGACGGCATTAAAGTTATTCAAGAGCACTACAAAAATGGTGCAAAAATAAAAAACACGTCTCGCGCGCTTCGTGAACATTTCGGTCGCAACATCCGCCCAAACGAAACAACCATCGGTCGTCTGGTGCGTAAATTCGAGGCAACAGGCTCTGTGGCAAATCTGCCAGGCTCTGGCCGGCCAAGGAGCGTTCGTACATCGGAAAATATTGCTGTTGTGAAGGAGAGTGTGAGAGACGATCCGAAACAATCAACAACGCGTCGATCCCAAGAATTGGGCTTTGCGAAAACCAGTTTGCTCCGCATTCTCCACAAGGATTTGAATGTACACGCCTACAAGATCCAATTGACGCAAGAGCTGCGTCGGGCCGACCATTTCTCGCGCCGAACGTTCTCAGATTGGCTCCTTGAATACCGCCGAATTGATGCCAATTTTTCATCAAAAATCATGTTCAGCGACGAAGCGCATTTCACTTTGAATGGGATGGTAAACAAGCAAAACTGCCGCATCTGGGCGAACGAAGATCCCCGTGAGTATCAAGAGCAGCCGATGCATCCTCAAAAAGTGACTGTGTGGTGTGCATTGTGGTCAAAAGGCATCATCGGACCTTACTTTTTTTTCGAAAATGCGGCCGGGGACGCCGTTACCGTCAATTCTGAGCGATATCACGTGATGATAGAGGACTATTTTTGCCGCAACTTGAAGGAATGGATATGGACGATGTTTATTTCCAACAAGACGGTGCAACATGCCACACAACCAACATCAATATCCATCGATTGCAGTCCTTCTTCGGTGATCGCGCAGAGGAAATGTGTCATGGCCACCAAGATCGTGCGATTTGACTCCTTTGGACTTCTTTTTATGGGGATATTTGAAAAGCAAAGTCTACGTCAACAAACCAGCCACCCTTCAAGAACTCAAAAACAACATCATTGCCGAGATAAATGCCATAGAACCGATGTTGCAAAATGTCATTGAAAATTTCGACCATCGCGTGGACGTCTGTAAATCCAGTCGTGGTGAACATTTGAGCGATATTATTTTTCATACATAAATGGTATAAATGATCCTTCAAAATAAAGTACCCAACTTGATTTGAATATCAATCTTTCTTGTTTATAATATGCGTTTACTTTCCTGCCATACTTGTGATTTCAAAAAGTAACTACTACTCTCCCCACCCCCCCTCCCACCTCGGTGGTAGTGTCACATTTTTGGATTAGGAGGACCTGAAGTACCTTTTTTCTCATTCGGTTTACAATCTGGGACACTTTCCAGGCGGTACTGTTTTATCGATGCCATTGCATCACATAAAAAAAGTACAGAGTCAATCTACATGACGCCGTTTTTTCACTTTTTCGGTGCTGTTTCACGTTCTGTATGTGGCAAGTGAAACTTGTACTGTGCTTGTTTGTCGACTTCATATATGCAACCTCTTCATATGCGCTTTCCGCGGTACACCGTACTGACCTATATTCCGGCAGCCACATAGAGGAGGACGAAGTGCACCTCACACCTCTTTGTAGTGCTTGGTCTCGGCCAGCCGTCGTGTTATTCTCCACATAACCGCCTCTAATGCATTCTTCTCTCTTGACATACTCTATTGTGTTTTGCATTCACGTGGTACGAGGGATGTCTTTTAAGTTTTGCATATAGAAACATAGTAGGGGCCGCGCGGATCGAACGTCAGTACCGGATCTTAAACCTCACTCTTTAGTAACCTTATATTCAAAGTTTCGCAACAACCTTCAAAGACAATTATCGCAACAAGAATGCTTTGCTGAGTTTAAGCATCCCACAAACCGGCGCGAAATAATCGCGGCGAAGTATTCGCAACGAAATTCAGAGCGAAATTCGCAATCTGTTTCGCCTGTTTATTCATACCAAAGCGTCTTATTCGCTCCGCGAGCGTGAATGTTTCGACAGGTTGCGTACATTTTATTTTTGCCTTTTGCAATGAGCTCGTCTTCAGAAGAAGAGGAGGCACTTCTATTTCTTGCTTTAGAAGAGGAACAAAATGCACGGTAAGTTATGTTTATTTAACGCCATTTGATAGTTGGGTATGTATTAAGTTTAACGAAGTACATAAAACAAATATTTTCAATTTTGTTTAGGAAACGAAGGAAGTGGGTACATGATATTAACTTGGAACGAAATAAACCTTGATGCCACAACTTTGGCTGGATGAACAGCGCTTTTACGTATATTTTAGAATGACTCCAGAGTGTTTCGATGAAATATTGAACTTGGTGAAAGATGAAATACAAAAATCTGACACAAATTATCGTGAAGCTATTTCGCCAGAAGAACGACTTGCTATTACACTCAGGTAAAAAAATTATATGTATTAAAATTAGTAGGCTTATCGAATACGAAAACTTCAGGGATCGTGAAATAAATATTTTATTGTAATAATTGGACTACATGTTGCCACTAGGATTAAATGTTGCTAAATAATTCGAGGCAGAATTTGCCTCCTCTGTTGGGTATATTATTGGAGTAAGCCCAGTGCCGCTTGGGAAGGACGACATACTACTATCATACATACTTGCAGAATTCTGGGTAGACGCTGAAGACATTTCTTCAATATGTTCAAATTCTTCGTGCGCTATTAATTCGGCTATTTTTAGTTTTATTCGGGCTTGACGCTTTAAGGGAAGTGTTTTCACAGTCTGTGCATGTGCCAAGAAAAGTGAATCAATGGCCTCGTTCTCTTTTTTAGGTTTTTTACCTTCAAAATAATTAATGAGCTGTTGTACAGACTAAGATGGTGGTTCATAGCGTTTTCTGCTCGTTTTATATTTTGGCGTAGTTGCAGTCTGCGGAAAGGTGTGCCCTGAAGTAGTCACTGCTGTAGTGTTCAATGAAGAAGGTGGTGATGTCTGTGTTGCCGAGGCGTTCTGTGCATCTTCTGCATCTACATCAGCATTTTCATCTTCTCCATGGCCGCGGTCTTCCAAATTTTCGGTTTCTACATTTCCAGCCTTTTCCTGATATATATTTGAGTTAAATTCGGCAGTCTCATAATGTATGACGTCAATATCTTTCACATTAGACGACGTTTTGGCAAATGCCAAAAAAGGACGGAAAAATTCCATGTAGTCAGCCCACTGCCATTTTTTTATGTTGCCCACTGCTTGGCCGGTCTTTGGTTTGGTAGATTTTATATATTTTGCAAATGTGTCTCTGATATTCTTCCACCTTTTTTTTACTTCATCACCTAAAAACGATTTTTTTTATAGATTCCTTGCCACTAGTGACACCTTCTATACCATTGGGCATAGCTTTCGAGTTGGCTTTACAACAGTGAGTGCAATCGTAACCGAAGTCTGTGAAGCAATATGCAGACATATGGAGCATATATATTTACCAGAACCAACGGAGAATATATGGAAAAAATGTGCTGAAGAATTTGAAAATAGATGGGGATTTCCCAATTGCATTGGCAGCGTGGACGGTAAACATGTAACAATCAAGAGACCTAACAACAGTGGCTCCAATTACTGGTGCTATTTACATAAATATTCAATAGTACTTATGGCCATTGTTGGCCCGGACTATAAATTTATATGTGTTGATATTGGTGGTTTCGGAAAAAATAGTGATGGGGGTATTCTCGAAACCTCAAACATGGGAAAACGATTTGAACAAAATTTAATGAGTGACCTAGATTTCTCCCTGGGCAAAATGAAATCTGCTCGTACGTCTTAATTGGTGATGAAGCATTTGCTTTAAAACCATACCTTTTGAGACCATTTCCTTATAAGCAGACTTTAACAGTCGTCAGAAAAGAGAAATACAATGTAAGACTTTGTCGAGCTAGAAGGGTCGTGGAAAATGCGTTTGGTATTTTGTGTCAAAAATGGCGAATATTTTACAGGCCATTAGAAACTAAAGTAGATACTACTATTCTAATTGTACGTACGGCATGGGTTTTACACAATTTTTTACGAAGTAAAAGTGGCGATGACAAATATTTTCAATTCTTAGATCCCCCAGAACCCGTGCTTGGAGCTTTTACTGATATAGCAAATGATCCTCGGCGGGCAGCAAGGCTAGCATTTTCTACTCGTGACAAATTCGTAAATTATTTTAATTCTGATATGCCTATGCCCAATATATAGAATGTTCGTTTTCACATTTGTGTAGACTGTAAATTATTTAACAAGTTAATAAAAAATATTAGGTATTTCTTTCTCACATTCCTGTATTCATCGTTCGACAAATCATACAAACAAGGATACTTTTTCACTATTTCTATCAATAATTCCGTTTTAGCCATTGCGAATTTTTGAAGAACGGCGTCAAAAACGCGGTCAAAGGCGAACTGAAATACGCCGCGATAAAAACGCTGGAACAATCGCCGTCGCTTCGCACAAGTCTGAGCCTGTCCGTAAACCAGCCGCGTTTTAATCTGATTGCGAATCATCGCCGCGAAATTTTCGCAGCCAAAGCGAATATTTCGCGCCGGTTTGTGGGATGCTTTAAACTGCCTCATAACATGGAGCCTCCTGCGTCCGTTTGTTAAGTCATATTGCAAAATTTTTATAGTACCCATTGTACTCAAATATCGTATTTGTAACACCGGATGTTCAAAATAAAGGCAGTAAAAAACAATACGCATGACGTTTCTTTGTTTACAATTTCTATGGCGTTTCGTATTAAAAATAAAAAAATATATATTTTTAAAATGGACATACAGTAATAAACAAAAGTATATAGACTGAATTTTTACCTAAATACCTTTAGAAAACGAATTCATACTTCATTGCTCCATAAACAAATGCGTTATTAGTAGAAAAACTAAATTCCTTGTTTGTACATTATCTGCAATGCAGTCTGAATATAAGCACTTTTTTATGAGGGACAAAAATATGTAGACAAATTCTTTTCAACATTAGTTTAGTACAGTTTCGTGTCAGAAGAGGATTCGTTTGTGGAATAAGTTGAGTGATTTTAAGACCATGCCGCGTGGTCCATAAATTTATTTCGATGTGAAAACTGAGATCATTGAGTTATACAAAGATGGTCAACGTCAATATGACATTGCCAAAAATTCGAAGCTGAAGCGTAAAGCAGTTTGGGCAATATTGAACAGATATAAACAAAAAGGTATCTTGGAAGCCTCTAAGAGAAGTGCTAGATCGGTTAGATTAATAAAAGTAATTCCGTCCAAAGATCCGTTTAAAGCCCCAAGACAAATAAAAGCCGAAATCGAGATATAAAAGGAATGTCAAAGTAGAAGATTAAATGCTCGAGAAAAAAACCAAGGTAACCGACGATGCAATTTGCATGGTTGCATCTTGATAGGAGCATCTGTGACGGGAAGAGGGTATGTTTCAGTGACGAATCCATGTTCAATATGTTTGGATCAGATGGTGTTCGTTACGGTAGACATCCTAGTGGACAAAAATTGAACCCCAAGTACACTTTGCCCACTGTCAAGCATGGAAGCGGGTCTGTTATGCTTTTCGGGTTTGGGATGGGACCTTTACATAGAATAGATGGCATTATGGATAAGTTTGTATACACAGACATACTAAAGCATGTCATGTTACCCCATATGGAAGACAATATGCCCTTAAGATCAATCTTCCAGCAAGATAATGACCCGAAGCACACTTCAAATCTCGCAAAAAAATTGTTTCTGGATGAAAAAAAACAGTTCTCAAATGGCCTTCACAGTCTCCCGATATAAACCCCAGTGAAAATCTATGGGAATACTTAGATAAGCAAATACGAGATACAAATTATTTAAACAAGGATGAACTTTTTGCCGCTTTAGAGCAAAAGTGGAGACAGATTTATGAATTTTATATGAAGAAACTTCTACAATCTATGCCGAGACGATGCCAGGCGGTGATTGATAATAATGGTCATGCTACAAAATATTTTATATATTCAATGAACTTTGCTTCCTTTTCTATAACTGTTTTGCTTTGTCTATATATTTTTATCCTTCATAGTTCCACTTTTTTACAATTATTTTTTTCTTGAAGGGATTCTAATGAATTTATTTATGTATAAGTGAGTATTATGCTATAACGAATTATGTACACAGCTTGGTGTATTAATGAAACAAGTTAAAAAAAGAAAAACATCACAATATTAATTTGTCTATATACTTTTGTCCATTACTGTATATCCATTTTGCTCGTAAAAAAATTGAAATTGATATTTCGTTTTCCTAATACAAATACTGTAATAATTTCTCATTTATTCTACGAAATTAGATAGTCAAGTAGCCTATTGTTCCTAAAAAGATAATTCAAATCTTTCAAAACCTCCTGTATACACTCTTCACGAATAGATATTACTCTTTTTCCATTTTTCTAAAATCCGCGGACGCCGCTTCTACTCGCGGCCAAAGCAAAACTACGTAGCCGATTCGACTGAAAGTTTGATAGTAGCTATCTACAAGAATGTCCTACACGATAGTACATTTCTCTTGCGTCAGTGGCACCATATATCGGACCGCACTAGTATGTATACTAAGTGACATATAAATCCGAACACCCAGTTTAAATGGTTTTATTTTAAAAAATTTTGTATAAGTACTTAATGAAGCATAATAAGTAAATGATAAAAATTTCAAAATGATTGCACTACTTTATAAAGCCCTTTGACCTTAATAATGTGTGGATGCACCCTGATGTGCTACGCATTCTCCAACGCGCCTAGGCATGCTTCTGATCAGGTGGTCAATGTCCTCCTGTGGTATCTCATTCCAGGCACCACCAACTCCTCTCGAAGTGCTTCTAGAGGTCTGAGGAGGACGTTGCAAATTAAGCAATCTCCTACCCATCATATCCCACACGTGCTCAATTGGGGATAAGTCGGGAGATCTTGGTGGCCATGGTAACAATGTGACATCATTATGTTGAAAGAAGTCTATTGTGACTCTTGCAACATGTGGTCGAGCATTATCTTGTTGGAAAGTTGGATCTGCCAGGGTGTCAAGATAGGGTAAAAGATGGGGTTCTAGAACTTCGTGGATATAACGCTGCGCGTTCATGTTACCTCTGATGAAGATTAAAGGTGACCTAGAACCATAAGGTATAGCACCCCAAACCATAACTCCAACAGTGTGATGAACATGTCTTTCAACAAAAAACTGTGGATTCCTCCTTTCACCACGTCGCCTTCTACCCCTGGCACGACCATCGTGCATGCCTAAACAAAATCGAGACTCGTCACTAAAGACAATACTGTTCCATTCCTGATCCCAGAGTGACCGTTGTCTGCACCACTCAAGGCGATTACGTCGGTGTTCTCGAGTTAAAGGGAGGACCCAGTGTGGCCGGTATGAAAACAAGCCAAAAACTTCTCATTTGTCGGTAAACACTTGGCATGCCAATAGGTCCTTCGTGTTCTGCAAACCATTCATTTGCAATGGACCTGGTAGTGGAGAAACGGTCCCTTAAGGCCAATAATCTTAGGCGGCGATCTTCACGGTCTGTTGTTCTACGGCGGCGTCCAGTGCCCCTTGCTCTTTGCGTACGGCCTTCTCGAAGCCATGCCTGACAACACCTAACCACAGTGTCTACACTTCTTTGCACTCTAACTGCAATTGCCCGAAAAGAAAGTCCAGCTTCCCGAAGTCCCACTATACGGCCCCTATCAAACTCACTAAGTTGACGAAATCGTACAGGTCTCCGTACTCTAGGCATCGTAACCGATCGTAAAGGATGTCAAGAACCAAAATCCGGCAACGTTGATTCTTTACTGCGGCTGAAATATTAATTTTTAGAGAATTAGTGAATTAAAAAAAAGCAGTATAAAAACCAACTGATAAGGCTGAAAATTTTTTCATTTGTTATTTACAGTAAGATAAATACACTCACCAACTTTTATTAAAATAAAACCATTTAAACTGGGTGTTCGGATTTATATGTCACTTAGTATATTTACAAAAATAATTAATACACATTACCTAAAAATGGAGTGGTAGGCCTGTCGCTGTTCGCAATCTCTTCCAGCCTGTTGAACATGGCGGACTCGGTGCCTCCGACCCACTTTGACGTCTCAAACATCTCCGACACTTTTTCCCGTGCGCCTTGGCCAGTTCCATAGCTTGCCATTTCGTGAACGGATGATCGCCAAATTCATGTACATACTCCCGCGTCAGATAATAAAACTTCTTTCCCTTGGTCATGTCGAACATTTTCCGCGCTTTGCTTCTCGCTTCGGTCTCGGACATGGTCGGATTGAACTGTTTCAGTAACCTTTCGGCGAAATTCTGGCCGGCACCGTAGATTCTAGCGTAGTTGATGACCTTGGCGTGGTCTCTGCTGATGCCGACTGCCTTTGCGGTGACGCTGTGCATGTCCGTCCCTTCAGATTTGTTTCCGCTTAACGTCATCCATCCCAACGGTGTGCAGCCGTGCATCGCCGCATGGCGGGAATCCCCTAAAACAAATTTGTGTCGCTTTATACACGGTGACCCGTTTTAAAACGCGGTGCTCAACTGTCCACTGCTGCATAATGTCTACTGGTAAAAATGCTAGGAACGGCACTCTCCCCACCACTCTCGCCCTGTATCTTCCTGATCACGAATCCTGAGTCTGGAACCACCTACAGAAATTCCTAAGCCCGCCACTGGGATTCTTACCTATTACAGAAGCTATCCACAGCTCTTGCGAATCGACATCGGCACCCACGATGTTATAACCAGGAGGAGCCTGAACCATCGCTCTGAGCTCAGATCCAATTCTTTCCGGGTGTGCGTTTGAAGCTGTCATCCATGTGGATTCTACAGCTCTTCGAGTAAGTGTACCACAAACTACCACTTGGGGTATGATCGCACCAAAATTGTCTGGAAGATGGAAAATTAGATGGCACGTTTATGGTTTGTGGTTAAATTTGTAACGTTTGATAGTTTTGATGTTGGATAAAGTCAAGGAAGAACTTAAGTTAATGATGCGCGGTATTATTATTTATACACAAACCCGTAGATTCTTGCAGCTCCTTGGGCAAATCCTGCTTGTTCAACCACACAACCATCTGGTCCATAATTCGAGCTCTATTATTTCTCCAATAAGATAGTTTTCTAGCAATTGACAGAACTTGTTCCGCACTCTCCGTATCGCCAGCCAAAACGTTGTCGGAAAATTTGGTCAGATAATCTTTAGCCAACGGATTTCCTACATTTCGAGATGGTCCGTCTTTGTGAGGTAGTTTGAAAAACCAACAACAATCTTCTATTACGGTATTGCACCAAATTCCAGTACCTATGAAAAATATGCCTTTTGTTACTAGCATTACTTACTTACCTTGTAGCGATATTTTGTAATCAAAAAGGGTGATTTTATTCCAGAAAAATTAGTGAAAAAATATAAAAATTTAAGGGATTTCCGTACAAAATGTTCTTTGGCCTAAATTGATGCGGTTTAGACATCGTTTAACTAAAGGGTTGTCCAATAGGGACGCAGGAAAGTAAACGTCAATTTGACATAGACGCCATCTTTGTTTTCTGTCACCGACATGTCATTTTGTTAGTTGAATGTTTACCATTGATCGCTATGGAGTCGTATTCGATTGAAGACCGCATTAAAGTTATTCAAGAGCACTACAAAAATGGTGCAAAAATAAAAAACACGTTTCGCGCGCTTCGTGAACATTTCGGTCGCAACAACCGCCAAAACGAAACAACCATCGGTCGTCTGGTGCGTAAATTCGAGGCAACAGGTTCTGTGGCAAATCTGGCAGGCTCTGGCCGGCCAAGGAGCGTTCGCACACCGGAAAATATTGCTGTTGTGAAGGAGAGTGTGAGAGACGATCCGAAACAATCAACAACGCGTCGATCCCAAGAATTAGGCATTTCGAGAACCAGTTTCCTCCGCATTCTCAACAAGGATTTGAATGTACACGCCTACAAGATCCAATTGACGCAAGAGCTGCGTCGGGCCGACCATTTTTCGCGCCGAACGTTCTCAGATTGGCTCCTTGAACACCGCCAAATTGATGCCAATTTTTCATCAAAAATCATGTTCAGCGACGAAGCGCATTTCACTTTGAATGGGACGGGTAAACAAGCAAAACTGCCGCATCTGGGCGAACGAAAATCCCCGTGAGTATCAAGAGCAGCCGATGCATCCTCAAAAAGTGACTGTGTGGTGTGCATTGTGGTCAAAAGGCATCATCGGACCTTACTTTTTCGAAAATGCGGCCGGGGACGCCGTTACCGTCAATTCTGAGCGATATCACGTGATGATAGAGGACTATTTTTTGCCGCAACTTGAAGGAATGGATATGGACGATGTTTATTTCCAACAAGACGGTGCAACATGCCACACAACCAACGTCAATATCCAGCGATTGCAGTCCTTCTTCGGTGATCGCGTGATTTCGCGCAGAGGAAATGTGCCATGGCCACCAAGATCGTGCGATTTGACTCCCTTGGACTCCTTTTTATGGAGATATTTGAAAAGAAAGGTCTACGTCAACAAACCAGCCACCCTCCAAGCACTCAAAAACAACATCATTGCCGAGATAAATGCCATAGAACCGACCATATTGCAAAATGTCATTGAAAATTCTGAAAATCTGTAAATCCAGTCGTGGTGAACATTCCAGCGATATTATTTTTCATACATAAATGGTATAAATGAACCTTCAAAATAAAGTACCCAACTTGATTTGAATATCAATCCTTCTTGTTTTAATATGCGTTTACTTTCCTGCGTCGGTTTTGGACAACCCCATAATTTGTTGATTAAATTAACCATTTGTCGGAATGTCGAAAAAAAAGCCCTCTAGCGGCCACATGTGAAACCAACAAAACTTCAAATATTATAACAGAATAGCTCTTTTCAAGTATCCCAAGTTTGTTAAAATCGGCTGAGCCGTTTCGAAGATAAAGGGTGTTTTTAACAGAAACCTTTGAGTATCCCCCACCACTTTATTTTTATAGCAACAGCAAAAATTGTCAAACAAAAAAGGTTCAGATTATCCTCGAATTTAAAGGTCAGTTATTTTTTTTTTGTTATGTTAATATAGCGAAATTCACAGAAACATCACTTTTTTAGATCCCAGATTGCAGTTACGCCCCCTAGCGGACATTTCAGAAATTTGAAAATATTTTCCACGTTTTTTCTTTTAGTGAATACAGCAGACGCTCGATAACGTAAACACGGGATAATGAAAACTTGCGCTAATATAAACATAAGCTTCGTTCTATAGGATCAAGCGGAACGCGCGATAACGTAAACAATGTGTACGCTCGATAACGTAAACAACTCTCGGCGCACGCAAACAGCGCGACGGTAAAATGCTGAAGCCTCGATGATTTATGTCGGGCGTCGGGGAGTCCCCGATTTATGATGTAGAGTGTAGGGGATTCACCTCTGCGATAAAATACGACAAACTCGGTCAGTCGTATGATCGTTTAGGATACGTTTATACGTACGTATGTATTTCATTTTTGAACTTAAGTGAATACATTGCACGCGTTAATATATTTTACGACTATGGCATCCACATCCTATAAAAGAGTGTGTTTAAAGTTGAGTGAGAAAGTGAAAATCATAGACGAAGTTGCACTAGGTGCGGGAGTGACACAGTTAGCAAAAGAATATGGAGTATCGAAAGCAACAATCTGTAAAATTAAGCGTATGAAAACTCAAATTTTACAAAGAACGTGCAATACATTTGGAGGTCCGGGAAAAAGAAAAACTTTAAAAAATGCGCAGGCACCTAAATGGAAAATTCCCTGTATAGGTGGTTTTAAAACAACGGGAAACTTATGTCCCAGTTAGTGGCGAAGTACTTAAACAGAGAGCGAGACTGTCAAATGAAAAACTGAAAGAAACTGAAAATTTCGTAGCTAGTGATGGCTGCCTACAACGATTCAAAACAAGATATGGAATTCGACTGCTGTCTATATCTGGTGAAAAATTATCAGCACAACCACAATTAGTGCAACCATTCAAAGAAAAATTGATGAAAACAATTACCGAGCTAGATTCAAGAATGGAACAAATTTACAACGCAGATGAAAGTGGCCTTTATTGGAAAATGTTACCAGAGAAAACCTATGCTGCATCATTTGAAAAATCTGCCCCGGGAAGAAGCCGGAGAAACAACGAATAACGTTTCCAGCCTGCACTAATGCTAATGGTTCACACAAAATAAAGTCACTGGTAATTGGGAAAGCAAAAAATCCGCGCCTCATTTAAAAATGTTAATATCCCTGTTGATTATGACTGTTCAAAAACCGCTTGGATGACTAGCAGTATATTCCTGAAATGGTTCCACAGGAGCTTTGTCCCTCAGGTATGACAATCAATTATCACAAATGCTCTATTCATAATTTGAAGATGTGTTTTCAATTTGTAGGTAAAAGGTTTCCTGAAACAACAGAAGCTTCCAATAAAAGCGTTGTTACTATTGGATAATGCACCAAGTCATCCTCCCGAGCAACAACTGAGGAGCAGGGATGGGCCAATTTTCGTCATGTACATGCCCGCCCAACGTAACACCGATGGACCAGAATATAATAAGACTCACCAAACTATACTATAGGAAGTTTCTACTTTCGTCTGTCTTATCAAAGAATCCTGAAAACTATCTGAGGCTTAAAAAAAAGTAACATTACGAGAAGCTGTTTTAGATTTACATATGGCCTGGAATGAACTTAACCAGCAAACTATTCAAAAATGTTGGAACAATCTCTTTTGTACCAATAATGAAGATGATGAAGAAGACGATGTCCCCTTAAGCGTAATTAGAGAACGTTTGCGATCCAATAATGATAATGTTATTAGTGTGTCATTGGATGTTGTTGATTTATTGAAAACAGTGAATCCCAACATTGTTTGTACTCCTGCTGATATTAATTTATGGAACGAAGATAAGCAGACGAATGATGCTGATAAGGAGGAGGATATGGACAGTGAGGATGATGAGAACGATCCCATTGAAGTCAGAAGTGTAGTGACTGACGCGCAAGCTAAACAAGTTTTTAACCAAGCTTTAGATTGGGCTGAAAGAAAAGAAGTTTCATAGACGGATATTTTAGTTCTTCGTAAATTACGGGCGCAGGCATTGGAAGACAATGCTAAGCGCAAATTTACGCAGACAAAAATTGATAATTATTTTTCTTCTAATTAAAAAAATACTTATCGCTGTTAGAATATTTGTTTATTTTGTTATAAATAGTATGTATTAAACGTTTCTTTTAATAAATCAAATATTATATAAATCACGTTCGCTAATGTAACATTTCGATAATGTGAACCACACTTGGATTAAATTAGTTTACATTATCGAGCGTCTGCTGTACTTTTTTTGTGGCAAGCCCGTTGCTGCTTTACCTTGGTACTGGCCTCCAGTCTTGTCCCCTTTCATCCTATCAAAGTACTGCTTTTCGAAAGATCCCTGTTGTACCGAGTTGGATATCTGCTGCATCGCCTCCCAAGTGTTCGATCCGTCCCTTAGGACCCTCAAAGGCATTCTCCAATAATTTCGCTAGAGGCAGCTTTCTCTCTACTTCCGAGTCATCTGAAAATGGTACCAAGAAACCCCAACGAGATCGCGAATGTAATGAAGAGGGTAACCCTCCACGTCAGCGAAGCTAGTTTCGGTGTGATCTTGCATCGACCGTGCTGATGAGATTGAGGTCCTGGAATCCCACAATGGAGACGAGTCCGTTTTTGGTTGCACCGTTTTCGGTACCCAATTCGGGTAACCGGGCAGTAGGATCTTACTGATGGAGGTATTCCTGGTGGCCGATAAGTACCTGAACTTCTACTCTAATTCATCGAATTTTCTTCGGTGTCTAGGTCATTAGGGTCATTTACTGACTGGTCGACTTGACTTTTGTGACATTGCGGGGGGGTACCGGGGGTGGTTCCTGAAATTATCGAGAATAACCAAAAGTTGTCACAGGATACTTGGTTCCTGGAACGTCCGATTTAGGTCCAATTTGGGTCGGTAGGAAACGCCCCATAGTTTCCAAACTTACTATTTTACAAGTTCTATTCAGAACACAGAATGCAGCTCCAGGAACAGATCAGTACGGTTAAAATTCTAATGTTGTTTAAAATAGTTACAAAAGAACCACAACCACATTGACCTACCTCTTTATATACTAAGTGACATATAAATCAGAACACCCAGTTTAAATGGTTTTATTTTAATAAAATTTTGTATAAGTACTTAATGAAGAATAATGAGTAAATGATAAAAATTTCAAAATGATTGCACTGCTTTAAAGCCCTTTGACCTTTAATAATGTGTGGATGCACCCTGAAGTGCTACGCATTCT